CCCTCACTTCCTCTTGTATGTAATTTTGTATAACCCTGAGGGTCTCCTTCCATTTCCATGCAATTTCTCTTCTCTCTCCCTTTCCCTCCCACCTCTCATCCCTATTTAATGTTAATCTTCTTCTCATGCTCTTCATCCCTACTCTGTTCTTAGTTACGGGTGATGCTCTCTTATAACCTGATGTTTTGGCTTTCCTCCTAGATGCTTTCTTTACATGTCGAAAAAATGCCCTCCTGGCGAAGAGCTCGTCCCCCCAGGTAGAGGGTGACTTTGCCATGGCCCCTCGGGGCCCTGACCAGGAGGAGTGTGAGGGCCTGCTGCAGCAGTGGCGAGAAGAAGGGTCGAGCCAGGTGCTCTCTACTTCGAGTGAGGGTCCCCTTGCAGATAAGGGATTAGCCCAGAGCAGCCTGGCACTCCTGATGGATAATCCTGGAGAACAGGATGCTGCTTCAGAGGACAAGTGGTCCAGCAGGCAGCTGAGTGATCTGCGGGCAGCGGAGAACCTGGATGAGCCTTTCCCTGAGGTGCTAGAAGAGCCGCTGCCAGAGGTCCAGGGCCCCTTGTGGGCAGCTGTCCCTGTGCAGACGGGCCCCCAGTATGCAGACTGTGCTGTTCTCCCAATGGGTGCCCTGGCTGCAGAGCAGTGGGAAGAGGACCCTGCCATGGTGGCCTGGAGCATAGCACCAGAGCCTATGCCCCAGGAAGAGAATCCCATCTGGCCCTTTGAAGGCCTGGGGCAGTTGCAGCCTCCTCCAATGGAAATACCATATCACGGTGAGTTGGGCAAACTAAAATTGAGTGAGCCAGGGGAGTGGCTTGGCTTGGGGAAGGTTCTTGGTGGGAACGCCACCACTGCCGCTTTCTGTCTCTGAGAATTTTTTGGTGTCAGATCTAGAGAGGTCTTGCAGATGATCTTTTCCAGCCCCCTGGACTTACTGATGAAATAACCACAGTGCATAGAGGGAGTGGGTCATGTCACACAGCCAGCTAGTGGGAGAACTGAGGACTGATGCTAGTTCTGGTTTTCCACTCTTTCTACAGAGGTGACTTAGGGGCTTTCTGAGATGTCTCAGGGCCTCCACTCCTTGCCTTAGCCTAGATACATTTGCGAGAGTCCATTAAAATGTGAAGAAAAGCTCTGTGGCTCAAATAGTTTTGAAATCTCCCAGCTGCCCCATGCTACAAAGGAGCAGAGGTTGAAAAAGCCCCAAGATTGGAATTACTCCAGAAGTGTCTTTAATCTCAGGTGACTATAAACTACAACCAGCTGAGTGATTCTCCAGAGACTCCTGAATGTAGCCAAAATGAGAGCCAAATATTTTTTGAGCATCTACTGGGTGCTAGGTAGTGGGGATGCAGTTGTGAACAGATCAAGATTGCTCTTGGCTTTGTGGGGCTTGCCCTCTAGTCTAAAGAATGTCCTTAGTGCTGTCTAAATCACAACAGAGAGGGATAGTGACAAGAGCAATGGAAAAAAGAACTTGAGGCATAATATTACAGGTCAGGAGTGGAGGAGACGGGGCCTAGGGTAACCTGTACTCGTTGTGAACTCTTCTCACCAACCCCTCTGCAGAAATCTTGTGGCGAGAATGGGAGGATTTCTCCACCCAGCCAGATGCTCAGGGCCTGGAGGCAGGGGATGGCCCTCAGTTCCAGTTCACTCTGATGTCATACAACATTCTGGCCCAGGATCTCATGCAGCAGAGCTCAGAGCTGTATCTGCATTGCCATCCGGACATCCTCAATTGGAACTATCGCTTTGCAAACCTCATGCAGGAATTCCAGCACTGGGACCCTGATGTGAGTGAAAAGGGGAAAGTGCCATTTTGCATTGGTGCTAGACTTGGACTGTTTCCCGATGCTCTTAGAGAATGAATTCACATCCATAGTGATTACAGTCCCCTCTAGCTCTAGAGCTTGCCCGCTTAGAGTCTTGAGTTTTTGGAAGATCCTAAGACACTCTCTAGGTATATGTTTTCCAGCACCTTTATGCAGGGAGGGAAACAGGAATTCAAGGAGCAGGAAAATCTAGTGTACCTGTCTGGACTCCTCAGTTTAAATCTGCACCTGTTCTTATTGATGGTGACTGGGAATTCAGTCCTGTGGGCAGTTTCATTGTGACCCTACCTGAGATCCATAGTAGTTTCCTGTTTGGGAGCCTGCTAGGGAATGGGAGTCACATTCCAGAACTCTGGAGTGATTGGTTTCCTTTGTTAATTTCCCAGATCCTGTGTCTCCAGGAAGTCCAGGAAGATCATTACTGGGAGCAGCTGGAGCCCTCTCTGCGAATGATGGGTACTGCAGATTGCTGTCATATTTGCCAGCTTTTCTTCCTCCAGCCCTACCTACTCTCTCCTGAAACCCACATCATTTTCTTGTGTCTTGGTTAGCCCCCAGTCTCACCTGTGAGCTAGCACTTTCCACACGTGGGTGAGAAAGAAAGCAGAGTTCTATAGTTTTTAAGCAGTTCTGACATATTGCCATTTAACCCTTGAAGTAACCAATCCTGTGAGGCTGAGTGTTTTTATTCCCATTTTATAGTTGAGGGAACTGGGGTTCTGAAAGTTTTGTGTGACTTGCTCAAAATCACAAAACTACAAAGTTAGTAGGTTGTGGAGCTAGAACTCCAAATTGTCTGACTCCAGATTCTTTGTTCTTCCTATTATGTTCTATTGCTTCATACCCTTCCCTCCCTCCTTTCCTTTCTAGCCCTTCAGACATCTGGTTACAGCTGTAAGGGAATCTCTGCAGGACCAAGGAGGTGTCAAGGACAAGGACTCCCCTTATTGAGCAGCAGGAACAGTGCCTTAGGGACACACCCCTGATCTGCTGCCGCTGGTTGGAAGGGGTTCAGGCTTCAGGGACCCTGACCGATGTCCTTGGTGGGATTTTCCTTATAGGCTTTACCTGCTTCTACAAGAGGAGGACCGGGTGTAAAACGGATGGCTGTGCTGTCTGCTACAAGCCCACCAGATTCCGTCTGCTCTGTGCCAGCCCTGTGGAGTACTTCCGGCCTGGCTTGGAGCTCCTCAATCGGGACAATGTGGGCTTAGTGTTGCTGCTACAGCCACTAGTCCCAGAAGGCTTGGGGCAGGTCTCAGTGGCTCCTCTGTGCGTGGCAAATACTCATGTCCTGTACAACCCACGCCGGGGTGATGTCAAGCTGGCCCAGATGGCCATTCTCCTGGCTGAAGTGGACAAGGTGGCCAGGTTGTCAGATGGCAGCCACTGCCCTATCATCCTGTGTGGGGACCTGAATTCTGTCCCTGATTCACCTCTCTACAACTTCATCAGGGACGGAGAGCTCCAGTACAGTGGGATGCCGGCCTGGAAGGTGAAATGGGGGAGGCCACTCGGGCAGGGGGGAGGGAACATGGTCTAGGGAGAGATTTGGGTGTTTGTGTCAAGTGCTGCTTCTGTGGTAGGGACAGGGTTACACTTATTCTGGCTCCTTTCTGCCTTTTCTCCTTACGTTGATCAGCTTATGCTCAAACTAGAAGTTAGAAACTCACGAGTACCTTTGCATATTGAAAACCTTTCAGTTTTTTTATATATTTTTTAATTCACAAGTAATACATAAGTACATTTTTGCAAGAATTCAAACATAAGGCAAAAGCTCCCTTTATTACCTAAATTCCCTACCCTCCCTCAAATACTGACTGTTCTAAATTTGGTGGTGGTCTTTCAGATTGGTTCCTATCTATTTATGTTGATGTCTGTTTCTATAATATTATAATCACAACTTACATTTATTAAGCACTTAGCCTGTGCTATTTTAAGCACTTTACATGCATTAACTCATTAATTTTCAGTATTTCTATCATTGCTTTCATTTTATAAATGAGGAAAACTAAGGCCTAAGAGAAGTAATTTGTTTTTGGTTATTCAGGTAATCAGCGATAGAGCCAGGGTTTGGACTGAAGGAGCTCTGGCCCTCTATGACTCTGCTGTGATTGCTTGTAACAGCCAATGTGTGATATACACATCTGTGATATGTTATATCGTAATTGATGATATAATATTGTGTGTTTTATTTGTAGCTTCGTTTTTTGTTTTCAGTCAGTAATTTGCATATGAATCTCTCTCATAACTCCACCCCCTGCACTCCTTGGTGTTGGGGGTCAAATCTAGGCTCTTGCACATGCTAGTTAAGCATTCTACCACTGAGCTACATCCCCAGCCCTTTATTTTATTTCGAGAAAAGGTCTAGCTAAATTGGCCTGGCTGGCCTTGAATTTGAGATTCTCTTGCCTCAGCCTCCTGAGTAGCTGGGATTTCAGGTTTTTGCCATGTGCCTGACTTGACTTTATACCTTTTAGCTGCTGGATATTGATAGCTTATATGGTTCATAGTTTTCTCAGCTTGTGCTGATTTCTTTGTCAGTTAATCTCTTTGTTCCTGTTTTGTTATTGGTTAGCTTTTGGCAAAGCACCGTGGAGAAAAGACACAAAATGATTAGATTATTGCTGAGCACTTGGGCTTTTATTTTAATAAGGTTATTCAAGTGCCAGCAATGTTCTAGTTGCCCAGAGAAGGCCATTATCTTTCTGTAAAGAAGCTGTAATCAAGGAGCTCAGGGAACAGGAGAAAGAATTTGCTGAGTGCTGACCACATGACAGGCACTGAGGTGTAGTAGATTTGCTTTGAAGACAGACAATCTTGAGTTCAAATCCCTGCTCTGCCTCCTTGAGCAGGTCACTTAAGTCTTATTTTCATCTGTATATTGGGTATATAATGGGACCTACATCAGAGATGTGGGATTTTTTTTTAAAAATAGATTAAATAAAATAATGCATGTAAAGTGTTTTCCAGTTTGTGGTTTAAGGGAAGCAGTCAGTAATTGGTAGTTATTTTATTAGATTTTTAATTGTTCATGGTATTTTACAGTAAAGGATGTTGAACCCAAGAGAATTATAACTAACTTGTTCAAAATTTAATGGCCATTAAATTTCAGATGATAAATTTCAGATGACGTTTTACTTCAGATGACCTATTGAAGTTTATGCCCTTTAAGGGCAGAAGGATTGTATCTGTCACATTTATCCCGAGCATTTAGCTAGTGTCTTGCACATAGTTGGCATTCAAATATTTGTTATTGTTAAATGAAATAAAGGGCATTTTGCTATACATGTTGGAGATATACAGATGACTGATGTTGCCGAATGTTTCCCCCACTACGTTCTGTCCGTTCCCAGGCTGCTCAATGGCTTTGACCGAGGATGGTGACATAGATACGGTAAAGTGCTTTGGTGCATTTCCCATTTGGTTTGACCCTGTGGTTTCTCAGTAGTAGGCTCAAGATATTAGACCTTGATCCAGAAGATCCAAAGGTCAGGATAAATCTCTTCCCAACTTAAGTTAAAGCGCCTGAGAATTGGCCTTCCCTGTGTAGAACTGTATATATTTTTCTAAGATGAAACTTAGAACCACATGCTCATAACTTTAATTCACATATCTCACCCTCTCACTTCCCCTTCCTGTTTCATGGACATAGCAGTATTTCTAGTGAAAAAGCAATATTTTAAACTATTTTTAACTTTTCCCTGAGACTTAAGTGGGTTGCTTATTCCATGTGTGTAGTGTGTGATTGTGTGTATTTGTTCACATGTCCCAAACATGGACTGTTATTTCCTTTTTCTGTCTTGGTTTCCTCATTCCCATCTTGCTCTTTCCTTCTAGGTATCTGGACAGGAAGACTTCTCCCATCAGCTTTACCAGAGGAAGCTGCAGGTCCCACTGTGGCCCAGCTCCCTGGGCATCACTGATTGCTGTCAGTATGTCACCTGTCACCCCAAGAGATCAGGTAAGCACATTGGCACATTCTTGGTTGGCTTTGTCTCCGTGACCATTTTGGGAGAAAGCTTATTTCTCAATGATGAGAAAGTATAGTCTCAATTCTTTCAGCAAGTTCCTGTGTTTTTCTCACTGTCCTCCATATGGCCACCCAGTGAAATGAACAATTTGAAATCAGAGCTAGTGGAACGTCTTCTGGTCTTCAGCACAGACTTCCTCTGGAAGCTGGAAGCTTCTTGGTTCAAAGGAGGTCTCAGCATGTTGCTCCTTTTCCTTTCTTTCACTGTATGGCTTTTCCTGGTTTACAGAGAGACGTAAATATGGCCGAGACTTCTTGTTACGTTTCCGCTTCTGCAACATCGCTTGTCAGCGACCAGTAGGACTGGTTCTCATGGAAGGAGTGACAGACACTAAGCCAGGTAATGGAACTAACCCTGATTTCTTTGTCCTCTTCCTCCCTCCCTCCTGTTTCTTGTCAGTTCTGTGGTTTTCTAGTCTTTTCTAGTCTTTTCTAAATATGATTCTTAGAGATAAGCTTCTGGAAGTAAGTCTACAAGAAGGAAATGGAGTTGAGTTCATTGGTCGTATGCATATGTGGAAGTGTAGTGTGTTAAGAGCACTGGACCAGGAATCAAGAGGTGTGGGTTCTTACTAGTTCTAAGAGCCTAAGTAAACCTTATCATCTTTTGAGACTTGAGTTGCTAATAACTAGCATGTATACAGTGTTTCTAGGGGAGAAGACATACCTGTTGAGGCTTCAGAAATCATAAGGTGACGGTGGACCTGGTTGTAATAAACAGTTGCTCCTGTGGAGAACTTCCAGATTGAATGTAGCAGAGTATACATGACATTCTTGCCTTCTTTTCTCTGGAGCCACTTCAAAGCACAAGAGGATGGGAAAAAAATGCAAATTCCATATTTAACAAAAGTAGGAGATCTGAAGATATCTGAAACCATGAGCCATGATTTAGGTGGAATGGCTGCAAGAAATACCTGAACATTGTTCCAGGAAGTTGCTTGGGGCTGAATGGAACTCAGACAGAATCAGAAGAGTAAATTTCCTCAAGGTGAGGAATATACCTTAAGGCACAAAACCAAAATCCTGCGTTTTTGCAACAAGAATAGAATGCATTGATAGTGTGTGATAGGAAAATCCTTGGGCTGTTTAAGAGGCAGTGGAGGAAGGATCCATCAAAGAACCAAACCATATTTGCATTAAGCAGTCTGTTCAAGTGTGGAAGGGTAATGAGATACTTACAGAGCTGCATATCTCTTTGGGGAGACATAAAGATTTAAAGTCCTCACACAATACTGCATCATGAGGAAACTTTCTGTTGGAGTACATAACCAGTCCTTCCTTTGTATAAACTCCACTCAAATAGCTAGTGCAAAAGAATCTACGCTAATTCCAAGCCCGGCTTGCCTAAAACACTGTGGGATCTGCACTAAATTACTATAAGAAAAAAAAAGGAATGGAAATGCTTCAAAAAATAGGGAAAAAAAGAAAAAGGAAAAAATAAAAGAAAAGGAAAAAAGAGGACACTTCAAAAATAAAAATTGCTGCCATGAAGCATGTGGAAATTATAATATTTTCCCATGAATTAAAAAAAATAAGGCAATCTCCTTTATATAAGAAGACCAGAAAATCAAGTAATTGCTGTGTGTGTGTGTGTGTGTGTGTGTGTGTGTGTGTGTGTGTGTGGTACGGGGGATTGAATTTAGGGCTTTGTGCATGAGAAAGTGACTGCTTTTGTGAAATCAATACAAGCACGTGGCAAAATATCAGATGATTTTTTTTTTCTTTATGGCACTGGGGATTAAAACAAATGCTTATTCACTGAACTGCATAGCCAGCCCAAAATGTCAGAAGATGAAACACAAGTTTTGGAGCATGGAAAAGAAGTAGAATAAAACAAAACATTACATAGAATGAAGCCAAAGTTGGATGAAGCACAAGGAAGAATAGATACTCTGAAAATGAAGCAAGAGACAGAGGCCAGGAACTCAAAACTAGCAAAAGGAAAAGGAAGCATAAAAAGGATTTATATATTCTATGTGCATATATGATTACATGACCTCTGTAATTCTACATCATGTACAACCAGAAGAATGAGACATTATAATACTTTTATGTATGGTATCTACTGTCATGTATTCAGTCGCTATCATGTATAACTAATTAGAACAAATAAAAAAAATTACAAGAAAGGATTTACAGAGAAAATGACAGTAGTGAAAGATAAGATTCAATGTAGGCATAACTGGAGTCCACAAAGAAGGAAACCAATATAATAACCTCAGAGTACTATTTATTCTAGGAAGTCTTTCCCAAAAATGAAAAGATATGACTCTTCAGATTCAGAGGACATATCATGTTTCAGTAAAAAATCATGTAGGAGAGTCAATACTAAGACATCATAGTGAAGTTATTAGAAGTCAAAAGACAAAAGAATCCTTTGGGCAGTTGAACCAAAAGATTGTGCTATTATTATGTGTAACCATAATCAGATTGACTCTAGATTTCTTTTTTTTTTTTTTAAACTGATCTTTATTTTGTTCATTTACTTTTGTGTGGTGCTGAGGATCGAACCCAGTGCCTCACACGTGAGAGGCAAGCGGTTTACCTTGAGCCACACCCCAGCCACCTGGCTCCAGATTTCTTAATGTCAACATTCAACTTTGGAAAACTAGGCTTCAAGAAAAAAAGGTTTAGCTCAAGATTTGATAACCACCAACAGTGCTTGAAGAAGAAACTAGCAGAGAAGTATAGACAACCAGACAAGGACTAGGGAACTATAGTGAAAGGTCTAGTGGTGAGTGATGAATTTGTTTTTCTTGTAGTTAATTTGAATTGGCATTTTCCACAGAGCTTTGAACATTTCAGTGGCTCAGGTTTTTTTTTTTTTTTTTTTTTGTTGTTGTTTTAATTGCAAAGCTTTGGTATTATTATAACTGTGGCAAGAGCAGTAGTAGTACAGTGATTGCCACCATGCATTGAATGACCAGCATGTACCAGGAAATGAGATAAGTGCTTGTATCACTCAGGCTCAGCGAGGAGAGCTGTGGCTCTCCTGTTTAGACCTCAAAATTGTATAGTTGAACAATAACAGAATCCCACATAGGTAATTTTATAATAAGTTGTTTAAAAAAATCAGTGCTGTACTTGCAAGAAGCATAAAATAGCATTTAAATTTAATAACGAAGCTAAACTAAGGACCTTTAAACTACATACTGACAATCACTTTGTAAGTAGAGAAGAATCACTCAATAGTAGGGAAATATCTAGTTCAATAACAGTGCAAAATAACATAGTATTTTCACAATTGAAATTAAATTTGGATAAATGCATGGATCTGCCATGTGCCCTTCCATTTGTTCATTGCTCCCACCTAGGGCTGAACAGGATGCTGATGAATCTTTCACATTCCAAATCTAAAAAGCTCACCATTTTTAGGCCTCGAGGGCGAAAATTTAAGTGGAGTACAGGGAGATAGGTGTGTCAGTTCATTTTTTTCTGGAAAATCTGTTTAGATATGCCAACAAATACTATTCCAGTTCAGTACCAGTTATCTAACCCACCTTATATCAAAACGTGCCCACTTGACTGTGACTTTAGTGGAGCCTCTGAATGCTAAAGGAAACGCAGTGGTGGTAGTAATGGTCTGATTTTCCCCTAAGCTGACATTGCATTGCACTGGAGTGTTCCATATCACTCAGGTTGAGTAATACAAAACATTGTGATTCTCACTCTTTCCAACTCCCTTTGTGACAAAATAGTTCATAAATAGGGTACTTACATTCTTCTTGTTAATATTTTCAATTATTGAACTGGGAGTGTGGTTCAGTGGTAGAGCACTTGCCTAGCATGTGCAGGGCCCCAGTTCGATTCTCAGCTCCACATAAAAATAAATAAATAAAGGTATCGTGCCCAACTACAACTAAAAATAAATATTAAAAATATTTTCAATTATTAATGATTTCTTTTTTCCTGTATGATTCTGAAAGACACAATCTTAGTCCATTTAGGCTGTTATAAAAAATATCGTAAACAGGGTAGCTTTTAAACAACAGAAATTTATTTTTCACAATTCTGGCGGTTGGAAATTCCAAGATCAAGGTACTGGCAGATGTGTTGTCTGGTGAGGACCCACTTCATTTATGGCATCTTTTCACTGTGTCCTTACATAGTAGAAGGGACTAGGATTCTCTCTTGGGCATCTTTTGTGAAGGTATTAATCCTACTCTTATCCGTACTCATGACCTAATCACCTCCCAGGGGTGCCGCCGCCTCATACCATCACTTACAAGGGGGCTAGGATTTTCAACATATGAATTTGTGTGGGGAGGACACACTAACACTATAGCAGATACTGAAAAGGGATCACTGTTTTCTTTCTAATCTTTGTACTGAATCTTGAGGCTTTGGGTTTTAAACTAAGTAAGAGGAAAGTATGTGCCCAAGTTGTGCATTGTAGAAAGAATAATTGCTAATAAGTGTGACTTTCGTAAATCAGTAGTTAACATGTTGACCAGAGGTTACACAGAAACCTACCTGGCTATCTGGTCAGCTTTCTAAGCAGGAAAAGTTCTCAATCCAGCTTCTCCACTCATCCATGTGGTCCTCTTCCCAAGTACTTGCAGAACTTGCTTGCTTGACTCCTGCCTATGCTGAATGGACCCTGGCAAGATGTTGAGACAGGATGCTTTTGTAGAGGTAGCTATACCTCATGTGACCTGGAGGAGCAGGTGGGAGCCTTCATTTCTGTGGCACTGCAAGAACAATGCTGTTTGTACACAGTACTGTGTGCAGAGGCAGAACCTGGTATTGAGGGGAAACCACCTTTAAGATTCTGATGGTCACTGTGATTTTTCTTGCATATTGTAATGGCAAAGGATGTAGCTCAAAATGGAAACATTAATGTTATGAATGTTGATGTTCCAAATAACATCACATCAACAATCACAAAGTGAAACTGTAGGTATAACAAGGAATAAATAGGAAATAAGTAGTAGGTTTTATCCATCTCTCTCAGTCTCCAGTAGGTCTAGTGAGTTAAGAGGGCTAGAATTGTAGCTCAGTGGTAGAGCACTTGCGTAGCATGTGTGAGGCTCTGGGTTCGATTCTCAGCACCACACATAAATAAATGAATAAAATAAAGGTCCATCAACATCTAAAAAAAATTTTTAAAAAAGGTAACTAAGAATATAAAAGAGGGCTGGGGATGTGGCTCAAGCGGTAATGTGCTCGCCTGGCATGCGCAGGGCGCTGGGTTCGAACCTTAGCCCCACATAAAAATAAAATAAAGATGTTGTGTCCACTGAAAACTAAAAAATAAAAAAAATTCTCTTTTTTTCTCTCTCTCTCTTTAAACCTGATTGATTCATATCAAATTCTAAACATTGAAGCAAAGAAGACTTTAAAAAATCTCTGGGAAATTTCTTAGAATTGACCATAACTTTGACAACAAAGCACATGTAGTAAAAATAGAATTTAAAAACATGAAAGAAAACAGTATACTCTGGACATTTAAAAAACTTTAAGGTTGAAGCTGGGGCTGTAGCTCTGTGGGAAAGTGGTTGCCTCACATGTGCCAGGCCCTGGGTTTGATCCTCAGCACTACTTAAAAATAAACAAATAAAATAAAGGCATTCTGTCTATCTACTACTATAGTAAATAAATAAACAAATAAGTAGTGTGTTCATCTTCAACCAAAAAATATTCAAAAAAAAAAATTTAAGGTTAAAGAGGAAATTTAAAGTGAAACTGTAGGATATCAAGAAAATAACAATGAAAATACCATATATTTGTGGGATATACCTAAAACAGTGTTTATTGAAAACTCATAGAATAATTGTCAAAATTCAACATCAATTCTACATATTTAAAAAAATAAGAACCCTGTTAAATAAGGAAACAATGGATGATTCCTTATACTGTTGATAGGTTATCTCAACTCCAAAAACCAGCATCTTGCTTAAATAGTATTCCTGTTAAAGTTAGGAACAAGACAAGGACATCCACTATCATTATTTATTTGTGTTTGGAGATAACAGAATTAGAAGTATAGAATATAAAAATAGAAGAAAATACAAAGGTAAAAATGGAAAGGAGAGGGCAGATTATTCTGTGCGTTGGGAGATTATTATGTATTATACAAGTGATGATCTAAGAAAACCAGCTAAGAACACCATTAGTATTAAGATGATTTTGGAAAGTAGGTGCAAAGTTAATATGTAGAAATCAGTAGTATTTCATGTAAAAATGCTGATTGATTTATTAAAAAATATAAAGAAATAAGACCCTATTTGTAATAGCAACAAAAATATATAGAAATGAATTTGACAGGAAAAATGTAATGTATGAAAAGGAACATTTCCTTTCATCTAAATTATCAAATTTTTTGGCATGAAGTTGTCCATAACATTCCCTTATTCTTTTTGTTAAAACAGCTTTATTGAGATGAAATTTATATTTTATAAAATCTACCCATTTAAAAAGCATAGTTCAGTGACCCTTAGTATATTCAGAGTTGTATACCCATCACCACGATCTAATTTTAGAACATTGTCAACATCCACAAAGACAAGTTAGCAGTCACTCTTCAGTCACCCCCTCCAAGTCAAAAATCAAGTGAACATCAATATGGGTTTCTGGACTCTCAATTCTATTCCATTCGCTGTTTTGTATCCTTATCTCGGTATTATGCTATCTTTGATTACTATAGTTTTGTATACTTTCAAACTGGGAAAGTCCTTTTTGTTGTTTTTCAAGATTATTTTGACTGCTTTTGCCCTCTGCATTTCCATATGAGTTTTAGGATCAGCTTAACCAAATTCTGTAAAACGGGCTGTGGTTGTGGCTCACTTGGTAGAGTGCTTGCTTAGCATGTGTGAGGCATTGGGTTCGATTCCTGGCACCACATACAATAAATAAATAAAGGTATTGTGCCCATCTACAACTACAAAAAATATTTTTTTAAAAATTCTGTAAAACCAGTTTGGATTTGATAGGGATCTACAAATCCATGTATCAGTTTGGGAGGTATTGCCATTTTACAGTGTTGTCTTATGAACAATGAACTTGAGAAAAATTTCCATTTATTTAGATCTTTAATTTCCATGTTTTATGGTTTTGGCTGTGCAAGTCTTATTTTACTTCTGTTAAATTTTATTTTAATTGCTTTATTCTTTTCAATGATATTATAAATTGAATTATTTTCTTAATTTCATGTTTAGATTAGTTCATTGCTAGCGTATAGAAATATGGTATTTTGTATGTTGATCTTGTATTCTCCAATTTTGCTGTACTCATTTATTGGTTCTAATAGTTTTTTTAGAAAAAAACTACACTGGTTACACTGTTGGCTAGAAGTGGTGAGAACAGATACCCTTGTCTTGTTCCTGATCTTAGAGGTAAAACTTTCAGTCTGTCACCATCAAGTATGATGTTTGCTGTGGTTTTTAATAGATTCCCTTAAGGTTGAGGAAGTTCTCTTCTATTTCTAGTTTGTTGAGTGTTTTTAAATCATCAGAGGTTGTTGTATTTTGTTAAATGTCTTTTCTGAGTCTGTTGAAATAATCATGTTTTTTTGCATTATGTTAATTGACCTTACATTCTTGGAATAAATCCTGTATTGTCACAGTGTATTATACAAATTGTTTTTATATTTTGCTGAATTTGATTTGTTAGTATTTTATTGAATACTATCATATCTGTGTTCATAAGGGATATTAGCCTGTAATTTTTTTTTGTGATATGGGAATAATACTGACCTCATGGAAAGACTCGGCAAGGGTTCCCTTCTCCTATGTTCTGAAAGGTTGGTGGATGATTTGTATAAATGCTTCTTTAAATTTTTGGTAGAATTCATAAATAAAGCCATCCAAGACTGAGGGTTTCTTTGTGGGAAGTTTTAAAATTACTGATCGAACTCTACTTATTACAGGCCTAGTGAGATATTTTGTTTCTTTTTAAGTCAGTTTATATAGTTTGCATCTTTCTAGGAATTTGCTCACTTTATCTAACTTATCTAATTTATTTGCTTACAGTTGTTTACAATATTTGCTTATGGAGTTTTTAAAATTTTGTTTTCTGTTTTTGTCCTGTGTCATTAGTAATAATGTCCCCTCTTTCATTCCTGATTATAGTAATTTGAGTTTTTGTTTTTTTTTTCTCAGCTGTCCTGGTAAGGGTTTGTCATTGTTGATCTTTGATATCTATTAATGGCATTAGGATCTGTGATAATGTCCCTCTTTCTTACTTCATAATTGGTAATTTATATCTTTTTTCTTTAAATGAATATATTGTGTATATGTACACATATGTGTATTTATGCATGTATGGTGTATATGTACACATATGTGTATTTATGCATGTATACGTATCTACATATGTATATACATAACACACAATGCTATGTGATGGAAAATCTCTAGAAAAATACATTATGAGTTTGGTAACCTTGGTCGCCTCTGGAGAGGGGAATTGAGTGGTAAGAAGTAAGAGGAAGCCTCACTGATGATTTTTGTACCATGTGACTCTATGACCCATTCTTTTTTATAAATTGAATTAATTTTTTTTCAGAATGCTGAGCCAAGGAATGCAATGTCTCTGTTAGAGGCCTGAGGTTCTTGACCTTGGCTCATTATTTCCTTTTTTTTTTTTTTTTAAAGAGAGAGTGAGAGAGGGGAGAGAGAGAGAGAGAATTTTTAATATTTATTTATTTATTTTTTTTAGTTCTCGGTGGACACAACATCTTTGTTGGTATGTGGTGCTGAGGATCGAACCCGGGCCACATGCATGCCAGGCGAGCCCGCTACCGCTTGAGCCACATCCCCAGCCCGGCTCATTATTTTCTTCCTCTCTTCATCATTTGTCTTTCCCTTTCCCCTTCTAGAGCAATCTAGACAAGGATCTAAGAGTGATTTCAAGGGATTAGGGTGTGGCTCACAGGTATAGCGCTCGCCTAGCATTGGTGAGTCACTGGGTTCAATCCTAGGCACCATATAAATATAAAATAAAGACATTGTGTCCACTTAAAACTTAAAAGAAAAATAAAAAAATAAATATTAAAAAAAAAGTGATTTCAAGGTGAAAAGCTATGACTCTACTTCACTGACTGTGAATGATAAAAGCTTTCTCTCTCTGGTCTTCTACAGAGCGACCTGCTGGTTGGGCCGAGTCTGTCCTTGAGGAAGACACATCTGAGCTTGAGCCTGTCTTCCCCAGGTAAACTTCCCTCCAGCTCTCTTCAGCTTTTATTCAGCCCCTTCCTAGGTGTGGAAGAGGGATTCCCATTGGCTATCCTGAGGCTGATTTGGGAAGCAATTCTTACTAAGCTCTTGCTCTTCTCCCAAGAAGATCATGGAGAGAGTGTATGGGTATGCAGAACTCAGAGGGGCCCACTCTTATTTTTGCAGATAGAAAGCACATGAATGCCTTCCTGGGTGGGTAAAGCCTCTTAGAGAGCTTGGTGGCTCATGGACAGGGGCACTATGGGTATACTTTATCAGGTGCAAGTGGAAAATGCGGATTTTAAGGGTTAAGGGCCTCAGTATCAATGTGTCTGTTTCTGGGCTAATTTTAGCTAAGTCTGCCCATTTTGTATTAGCATGGAAAGGTATTTGGTGAGATTGGATCATTAGGATTATCCCTTTAAAAAAAAGCTTTATCAAACACAGAGAGAAAGTGATCTGGGGAAATTTTAATGGTTTCTGTTGACTGACATCTCCCCTCTATTCCTATAGGGTTGTAGGCACCATCCAGCACTGCCTCCACCTGACCTCAGTCTATACCCATTTCCTGCCCCAGCATGGCCGTCCAGAGGTCACCACGATGCCCTTAGGTCTTGGAACAACAGTGGATTACATCTTTTTCTCAGCTGAGTCCTGCGAGAATGGGAACAGAACTGGTAAGTCTGGGGGATCCAAGGTTCTGAGAAGCTACTCCAGGGTCCTGGGGATAAGAAGCCAGGCATTTAGTGGCATAACTTAGGCTGCTGGGACATGATTAGCAGAGGAGCAGGTTCCGTACCAACCTTGGTGCTGGCTGCTGCCCTCATTCTTCCTGTAGGCTCCCTCCCTGCCTTCTCCATTTATCCTTCCAGCATCAGAGAGAGGTGAGTGAAACAGGCACTCTCTACCCCTATTTTAGGGGTAAAAATAGAGTACTAGGAGTGATTGGACTTGTTTGGGTGGGAATGTGGGGAACACAACTAACTGAGGCCCTGTTTTCTCTCTTCATCTCATACCAGTAGTCACAGGGAAGAGTTTACCAACGTCATGCCTATTTTGTTTAAAATGTAGTTTTTAGAGTGTTAGAATCGATCATTTATGTTTAAAAGTCAGATTTTATATAGGAAGTCTGGATTTTTGGCGGGGGGAGGAACCAGGGATTGAACTCAGGGGCACTTGACTACTGAGTCACATCCCCATCCCTATTTTGTATTTTATTTAGAGACAGGATCTCACTGAGTTGCCCAGTGCCTTGCTTTTGCTGAGGCTGGTTTTGAACTCATGGCCCTCATGCCTCAGCCTCCCGAGCCACTGGGATTACAGGCATGTGTCAGAGTATCTAGCAAAAGTTTGGATTTTTTGCTTCTCTTGGAAGCAAAACTGTACCTGGGCTATGGTCCTGTTTGCCATAGGCCCTGGCACCCACCTGTCTTCTCATTGATATTACCATAGGGCGGGCATCTCTGAGGAAATGAGGCCTCATAGTCAGAAGCTATAGGAGGTGGGACACAGCCATAGGGATGTGGCCCACAGAGGCTTGGTTCCTGGAGGGCCTGTCATGCTCCCCAGGAGTGGCTGTGGCTGCTCTACCCACTGAGTTCTACTTTGTGTCCCAGATGATAGGCTGGATCGAGATGGAACTCTCAAGCTCCTGGGCCGCCTCTCCCTCCTCTCTGAAGAGATTCTGTGGGCCGCCAACGGCTTGCCCAACCCCTTCTGCTCTTCAGATCATCTCTGCCTGCTGGCCAGCTTTGGCATGGAAGTCACCGCCCCGTGACGGCCCCCAGGGGAAGAGAGCTTCTTTTCCGGAAGACCTCAGTGACCAGCGACTGTGGAAATGCCCTGTGCTGTGGAAACTTATGTCCCTCCCCCTCATTCCCTCCTACCCGTGGTTAGACTTTCTCCAGGCCTGTCCACGTTTTCTGCCTGTGGTCCCTGCCCTGCCCCAACCTCTTCCTAATCCTTTGCCACATACTCAGTGGCCTTGGGAGAGGCAGAAGCGGGGGGGTCCCCCTTCCTTCCATGTACCCAGCGCTCCCCCTTGATTTTTAATTACCAGGGTTGTGGGAGCTATTGATCTCATTGGTTATTTGCTTTTAGGCCGTTTCTTGGTGGTACCTTCTGACCTGACCTTCTCCCTGCCTTCCTGACCCCTGGGCCTAACCCTCTTGCAAGGCATGCACACATGTGATGTGTATATGATGCATGTGCCCCCTTGGGGTGGGACTGCCCAGCACGGCCATGCCTGCCTCTGCCTGGTCCACTTTCCACATGGGGCTGGATGCCCAAGGGCAGGTTGAGAGCTGGGTGCTGCCAGGTGGCAGCAGGGTTGTGGGCTTTCCCTCTTATGACCCTCTTGAGTTTCGTCAGTTCTTTATCTTGCCAGCCAGGGCCTACTTGCAGTCTAGGCTCTGGGAACAAATGGGCCCCAAAGCCTGCAGCAGCAGATGGAGGGGGATGGTACCACCTACCCAGTGGGCTCTGAGCCTTCAGCCCAGAGGTCCCAGCAGGCTGGCCATGATTGCTCTAGGGCTTGTCCCTTTCCCAGGCTGCCCTGAGACAGGCAGAAGTTTGAAATCTTATGTGGGGTTCAGTGGGCTGGGTGTGGTGTGAAGTTTAAAACTTTCTAAGAATGGGGAGAAAGAACCTTTAGGAAACTGCTGCTCAGTGTACTCAACAGAATTGGGAGTCACAGCTGGGGAGAGTAGGTGGGCTCTGCAGCCACCTTAACCAGCACCCAAGACCTAGTGGGCTTGTTCTCTCCTCTGCACACCCACAAGCAGTTGTCTACTGCTTTTTTCATCACAGTTTTTACTTTTTGCTGCCTCCTCTTTTCCCATTCCCTTCCACTTTCTCTCTAGAAAAGCCTGTTGTTTCGCACAGGCCAATTTGTCTCAGCAAAAAGATGGCTTTGGGCCAACCTGGTCCAAGAACGCAGGGTGGCCATGCTTGAGGATTTGCTCTGTCCAGCATCCCTCAATGCACAGTGTCTGTGCTTTTCCTTCCGTAGCACAGGGTACCCTGGCCTACCCAGGGACCCCCAGCCCACTCTGTGTCACCTGCATGCCTTACTTTTTCATGTCTGGAGTGTGTCCTAGGGTGTTCCTGGGCCAGCTCCTCCCAATTCCCTGAACTCCAGAGCAATAGCTGGCCCTTGTCACTGTGACTTGCTGTTGCTCCACTCAGCCTCCAGAATGAGACTGAAGGGACTAGCCAAGAGGCTTGCGTTAGGGACAGTGGTGAGCCAGAAGTTGATATTCTTTTCTTTTTTGAAAGCCAAAGACCCAGCTCCAATTCTGCTACTGCATTCCTGGTTATAAGCTTTCATGTCTAAGTTCTGAAATTTTTCCTTTTTTATGTTTGTGTATTTTAAAGCTTTGTTTCCTGGGTACCAGGCATGTGCCTGTCTGAGCCCCAGGCCTGCCAGCCCATCATTCACTCTGTCTGTCCTTGGGCACCTCTTGAGGTGGTGTCAAGACAGTTCCCTGTTTGTTCCTAGGATGAGAGCCCATCAGTGTTCTCTTCTGCCAGGAAATGCAGGTTATAAATGGCTAAAGACAGCAGAGGCCGGAGTTTGACAGGTTATCCTTTCTTTGTTTTCTTATTTGTTTCTGTTTTAGAGATGAAATGGGGGGTGGTGGTGGTTAAATGGTCATTTAAACTTCATTCTGCAGTCTGCAGAACTGGGGCAACTTTTTCCAAATAAAGATTTACCTTTTACCCCTCCCTATTGTTGGTCTTTTTATTAGAACCCTGAAGGGTCTGGGGTCTTGAGATAGGTCATGGGAGGATGAGGTGGACACAAAGGAAGAGACTGTGGAGCTTCTGATCCTGGGGTGGGGTTTCAAGACCAAATCCCAAAAGAGGAATTTCTTGTAATTTGCATTTGTTAACCTCCTACTTCCCAGGCCTGGGAGGAAGAGGGCTTGAGCAAACCCTCCACCAGCCTTTCTTCCCTGTGAGAAGAAAAAGCTCTATCTTGGCTGCTCTGTGCTTACCTCATCTCCCGTCCCTTGCCTCCCCATGGGTCACACCTCATTTAAAGGAGGGCCTGTGCCCAAAGCAGGAAAGACATGTTTTCTTGGTCAGAGCTGCGGCAGCTGCGGGAAGCATGAGGCACGTGGCAGATGCCTCTCGCCGAGCATCTATTTCTGATCATCTCTTTTGCATTCTGGAGCCAGGGCTGAGCTGTGGGCCATCTGTCGCTGGAAACATTTTTTTCTTTGCCAGGTCTCACTTCTGGGACTTTTGTCCTCCATCCTCTCTATGCATTTAAGCCTTGCCAAGAGCATGAGGAGCCAGGTGTAGTGTTCCTCTGAATAGATTCCCAGACCTCAGACTCGACCTCTCAAGAGACTCTGAGCATCTGAGTTACTTAGAGCCACCTGGTGCTTCAGTTGCACTACCTAGGTTGGGGTTCACTGATTTGGTAGAAAGAAAACTGAGCCAGGGATTAAGAACACCACTCCCCATCTTGGCTGGGTTGGTTGGTGACTGCAGGTAAATTACTTAGCCCTCACATTTCATTTCAGTTCACATTCACTTGGTGAAATGGAAATTTCTCTTATGACAATTTTCAGATCTGCTTTGTGCTGCAGCAAGAAAAGAAGGCTCAGAATTGCACAGAATTAAGGAGTTTGGGGTAGATGAGCTCTGGCACAGAGGAGTCCTGGCTACCTCAGTCACTTGGTGTGGCACAGCACTGGTGCTTGTCCACTGTCAAACAGCACTGCCACCAAACAGCGTGGTGGTGTTCAGAGAGGGCCGTTACTTCTGATGAGACAATCCCAGAGAGAGAAGTTGAGAACCTCGACTTACTGCTTCATTTCTTGCTGGCATAAGTTCCTCGGAATACAGCCTTTCTGGAAGCAAAAGTCTGAGAAGGAGAGCTCAGAGGCAGCTTGAAACCAAGGACTGAGAAGGAAAATGATCAACCAGGGTGCTTTTTTTCCCTTTGCAGTTCCTGCCCTGGCATAGCTACTCACTGGAGGATTGCTTTTTGGTCAGTTGTGTGATGGCTTTTCCCACCCTCTTTCTTCCTTTGTTCCAGATGGACTACCATGGGCTTGGGCAGGGACCAGGGAGGGCACGGCTGGGATGCATCTTGGGAGTGGACTCTGGGGCTCCTTTCCCTAGTGTCTATCAGGAGGATCTGTTGCAGCTCTGGGCTCCCAACACCCTGGTGCACCCAGCCTCTTTCTGAACAAATGTGCAAAACCAAAACTCTTGCAGATGAGGGCCAGCTGGCTGAGAGCCTGGTAGAGTGCAGATTGGCCTGGGTCAGAAGATGTGGATTCCATGTGTTTTGAAGGGAACTTCCCTCTGTCCCATTCCTAGTCTGCTCCTACACCTAGTGCCTGGGACCTCAGCCAGCTGTGGTGAGAACAGTCTCTACTTTTACATCCTTCGAAGTTTTGTTTCCCATGACCAAGTCCTTTCTGGCTAGGGATTAATATGTATTTGTGCACATTGTCATGTGGGCTAGGTCAGCTAGCCCTCCAGCTGACCTGAGGTGGCCCATCACCACAAGCCAGGCCTCAACAGCTGGTCCCTTCATGCCCACTGGCAAACGCTAAGGGTTATCAGGCAACCTGCGTCTGGGCCAGTCTGCTTAGTGTGACAACTGCTTCCCATGGCCACTGCCCTCCTCAGTAGCAGTGCCAGGTCCTGGCGGATGGGGGGTGGGCAGAGTGTCAACCTTTTCATCTTCAGGGCTGAGACGTGCCACCCACTTCCAAAGGTCCAATTCTGTTTAATCACATGCTTAGGTTAGGCAGGCACATGCTGTGCACCTGAGAGAACCAGGGGAGCAAGAAATGAGGCAGCCCGTCTCCCCAGGAAGTTGGGTTCTTACCCTCCCTGGAGTCTGCATCCTAAGGAAGGGGCCCAGGCCTGCCGCAGGCCTCCTCCACAGGAGAGCCGTCTTCTTGGTGCCTGCCCACCAGGCTTCTGTGCTGTGTTGTTTTAGCTGAACTTTCAGTGTGTGGATGTCGGCACTGCCTGTGGAAGGCTGTGCAGTGTGAGACATTGCTAATTCAGTTACCTTCGTGGAAAGGCTTTTGGGGTGTCATTTCAGTGGATTCAAATAAGCCTGCAATAAAAGTGCTTCTACTTAACAGTGCACAGTCCAAGATGTCGTCAGTTCCGATGTGGCCTCTCCAGCTGCCTGCTGCCTCTCCCCCAATCTGAGCGTGCCACACTACTAACAAGGGCAGCTTCCTGTGGTAAACTGCAGTCTAGTTAGGACTTTGTGGGGATGGACTGGGGTAAGAAGTAGGAAACATCTCCTTTGCTTACAAGTCTGGGTTTTGCTCTTAAGCTGAAGGAAAGGAGAGCAGAGACACTGGACAGAAGGAAGGGTTAAGGAAATGCCTGAGATCCTGTGTTTCTCCACTGATTGAGTTTGTCAGTGTGGAAAGAGTTGACACACAGGGACAATGAAGGGGAAGAAAGGGCATGTTGGGTGGACCCAGGGGTGCTCTCCAAATCTGTGGCCTGGTGACTGATGAGGAGGGACTTCAGTTCCCTGTTGCTATGGTTTCCTGAAGTAAGCTCATCTCCTGGAAGAACCTCCCTTTCTCCTTTGTCCTGATGGGCATGGTGGGCTTGAGCAGGGAGAGCAGGGCTGGGATACACCTGAGGGTGAACCCCGGAGCTGTAAGAGGGACCTTATCTGCTCCCAGATAAGGTTAGCAAGAGCTGAGTGGCTTTGGCAGGCTGAGAAAAAAGGGACCTCTGAAGGCCTGTGTCCATCGTCCATCATGACGGCGGGGAAGTTTCCTGGTTTTAGATTCTGCTCCCCTCCCCTCTGGGTTCTTGCAGCCAGTGGCTGATGATGGTGGGAGGCGGGTGGGCTGGGGCTCCAGCTCCCAGGGGGAAGAGACGAGGAGGCCTTGTTGTGATTTCTGCCCAGCCCACACAACAAGCTGGGGAGACTTTATTTGTTTCAGGGGGAAAGTGAGAACAGGAATGAGACGAAGTGTCAAGGTGAAAGGAAGGGCAATACTGATATGAGCAAAGGAAGGACAACATGAGGACCACACGTCACAGCCTGGGGAGGGCAGCTGGTCATCACAGGGCCCATGGGCCAGGCCCAGCTCTGGAGGCCCAGCTCTCCTTTTTATCAGGCTTGAACTAAAAGGGGGACCACGGAGCACCAACATGGAGCGAGAGGGTCACCCCAGTGGACTTGCAGCTAGCACCACGCAGCCCTGCCTGGCCCGAGAGCCTGGTAGGAGGCTGGTCCCTGGCAGGAGTGTGCTCCCCCCACAGTCCTCTACAGGAGGCCTCCTGCCCTTCACCCATCAGCCTGTTGGGCCTGGCACTCCCCTGCTCTCCAAGGCCAGGGACACAGTGCAGGTGGTGGCCTGCCATGGCACACATGCACAGGGACCTCTGGGCACTCACCAGCCAGCGTCAGACTGACTCCCAGAGCCAGACCGTGCTCTAGGAGGTGGGGGCAGAGGACAGAAAGGCTAGAAACAGACATGTCGATGTCTTGGCTCTTCCTGAAAATCAGTGCCCTGGCCCTGGGCTGCATCACCTCATCCTGGGGCCACAGGGCTGCTGCTCTCTGCACTCGGCCAAGCCCACGTGAGCACGGGCTGCTGGAGTGGCGGGCAAGGGGTATGAGAATGTGGTGAGGCCACAGAGGGAGAGGATTGGCAGTCGGTGGATGGGAAGGCTCTGAAGCCAGCTTCCTGGTGTTCCCGCCCTGGCACCTGGCACCAGGAGCCAGGCTTTGGGAGGCCCTGTAATCGCCCCCACCCCAGGCCTCCTCCACCAAGCAGCTTTCTCTGACCTCACCATGACCCCTCCTTAGCCAGCAGTTTGCACCAGGGCAGAGGAGCTGGGGTCACATCAGCCAGGCCCCTGTCCCTCACAGGCAGTGAGATGAGGTGACACCATGGAAGGTGACTAAGGCCCCAAAGTCCCTGCCTCTCTGTCTCCCCAGAAACCTCACAGCCAGGCCAGCCCCAGAGAGCACAGCCTGTGTAAACAGCCCGGGGGGAGGAGGGGTTGCTACATGGGAAACAGTTAAAAATAAATTCAAAAGCACCACTGTGTCCTGCGGTGGTCTCCACAGGCCTGAGGTCTCAGCTCAGGAGGGGTGAGTGCCAGGAATTGTAGATGGGGGTCAGCAGAGAGCAAGCAGGGTAAGGGTTCCACTCTGCTTCCTCCTCCCCAGGCTTCCCCAGGAGAGAGCCTGTGGGTCAGAGTGTCCTAGGAACTAGGAGCAGTTTCCTCTGTCTACCTGACTCTGGCTCCCAGCTCCCTCTTGCATCTCTTCGCCCTATACCCTGTCATTTCTGGGAAGTTCCCAGAAGCATCTGGGGCTTCTTCCCTGCTGATGAGCAGCCACAACCAGACCCAGAAAGGACCTTGTTTCAGCCTCACCTTTCCTGAGGTGAGCCATCTCTGTGTTGGGGAAGGGAGGAACATGGGGACCACAATCCCCACTCCCTGAGAGCTGAGATGGGCCAGTGAGCCAGGGATCACCATGACCATCTCACTGGTCTGGCCAGGGATGTGGCCTGGGGGCAAACTGGGCACCTCCCTAGGGCCCACTGACCCTAAGAAGAACCTGGTGAGGCTCCCAACTGGGAGTGACCGGCTGGCCTCCTAGGGTGCGTCGGGCCTGGCTATGGGCCCTGAGCTGCAGGGTGGATGAGCGGCAGCCTCTGGGGCCTTCCCTGCAGGGCTCTGCCCTCCTCTCCTTCTCTCTGTTTCCAGGCACCAGCCCTTCTCCTGGCAGGCTGGGTGCCACCTACCCAGGTCTCCAGCCTGTCTGCAGGGACAGCAAGGATGAGCTCAGGGTGGCTCCCTGGTGGGAGTGTGTGTGGGGGGGTGGGTGTCTCTGCTGCTGAGACTCGACTCTGGAGGAATCTCCTCTGGAAAACCCGGACCTTCCCACTCCAAAGCATCCCATGGACTCCTAGCCAGCACAAGCTCTTGACTGCAGAGGGGGCAAACGTACTCTTTTGTGTAAACTGGCATTTAAATTTCTTGACCTGATTTGCCAACCTTTAAAAATCAGATTTCTCATCCAGATTCAGGGTTCTGGTCTCAAACACAATCTGGCCCCACAGGGCCTGCACTGTGAGGAGAGCTGAGCAGCAGCAGCCCGCAGTGTGCCACGGTCCCCATGCCGCCCTCCCATTTGTCACTTGCTGGCCCTGTGGACATTTGAGTTTACAACCCCAGTTCTGCTGCTCCCCTGCCCAGGCTCACAGCTCCTCTGCAGCCTCACTGAAGGCTGCCCCAGGTCGACACAGCCTCTCAGTAAAACCTTAACGATCTCCACATCACGTTGCCCTTCTATAACCTCATCCTCTCTCCAGCTTCCTGACAAGAAGCCCTCTGTGCTGGGGAACTCACCCCTCCCCAAGGCAGTCTGATCCTAAACTTCCTGCCACATCCCTTCCTCACTTACACCCCCAGGTCTCGGGCTCTGTCCCTTCTTATGGTCCAACTGCCCTTTGCCCTACACCTTCTTGTTTGAACTTCCAGAACCTTCTCCAAGCTCTGCCAACTTTTACACATGCTTTCTCTTCCCTGCCAGGGGTCTCATGGAGGATGGGCAGAATGTGCACGACTCCAGGTGCTTGGCTTCTTCTCTACTAGTGCCCCGAGGGATCACGAACTGTGGCAGGCCCCTTTGTCCCTCTAACCCACAAGCCTAAAGGGGCTGCTCACGGAGGGGATGTGGGCCTGGGGCACAGCTCTGCTGGTCTGGTCTTGATTTCCCCAGCAAGGGCTGAAGTTTTAGAAAGGGGACACAGCAGAGGCCACTCCCAGAAGAGCCAGGGGAAGGACCCAGGCCTGAAGTCCCACCCCATGCCCACCTCAGCCAGGACTGGCACCCAGGTCTGCTCAGTCCCACAGCCATGCGGACCCCAGGGTCATTCTGGGCCCTCCACAAAGTCCACACCCTCTGCCGGGAACCCCCAGGCTGCAGTAACAGGCGAGACGGGGCTGCGCACGTGGACCCCGCTGCTGGCCCGGGGGCTCTCCTCCGCCCAGGGCCCTCTTCTGGTTCTCCTCCAGCCCAACCCCTGCTAGCTTTAGCTCAGGCCCACATGGTGCTGCCTATGGGGCCACAAGGGCCAAGGGCTCTTCTGGGCCACCAGCTCCTGCTCTTAGCAGATGCGGTCTGCGCCCAGCTCCTGATTTATGGGCTGCACAGACCTTTCTCAGGATGCGTCTACCCTGCTTCCCTTTCCCTGGGTCAGGACGGTCCCAACTGCAGAACACCTCATCCTCTCAACCCACACAGGCTGGTGGGGCTGAGAAACTTCCCATCTACAGGATGCACCCAAATCCCAGAGAGCCACTGGGAGTAGAGTCACTGGGGAAGCAGCAAGCCATCCTCCCCCAGCCCCGCGGCTCTCAGGCCCCTGAGCGCTGCCCTTCCAGCCACCAGCATATCCATTTGCCATTGTCTTTTTCCCCTAAATACCTTAAACATCAGTCGTAGAGCCAAAGACTCCAAATAAAATACTGTCTTCTTGGCCCAAAGTTAGGGACTTGGCTCAGTGGCAGGGGCAGCAGAGTGGGGCGGAGCCACAAGGCACCCTTCCTGCAGCCTGCAGCCTGCAGCCTGCCCCCACAACCCCTTCCCTGGAGCAAGGCCAGTTCCAGCAGGTGGATCATGGTCTCCAGAAGCAGGGGCTGGGGTGCTGCTTGTGCCTCAGACTCGGATCTGGTACCCATTGAGGTCTGGCATGGCTTTGGGCTCTGAAGGCTTCTTGTCACCCGAGGGCCTGCAGGGAGGCAGAGCAGAGCAGCGGGCCGTGAGTGGTAATCGGGAGCTGGAGGAGGAGGGAGCTGCCCTGCTGGCTTCTCTCCTCCATTCTCCTAGGGGCCCTGGAATGGGAGGACACAGTGGAGACGTGTTTCTGGAACCTTGGCCAGCCAGAGCCTCCCGAACGGGATTCCCATCTCACAGGGCGCTTGTTCTCTGCTGGAGGTTAGCTAATCTGGAGGTTAGCAGCTGGTGGGTAATACCTCAGAGCATAAATCTCCCCAGGGGAATCTGTTCTTTACAAAAGCTTCCTAGGTCAAAGTCAACGGTGATGGACATTTTGGTGCCAAAGATCTGCTTGGTATCCCTTAACTCATGCCAGAGGGGTGGCTCCTATATGACAATTATATTTAAAGCAAGAGCCAGAATGTTAGGGGAGGGAATCAGAGCGGGAGACTTGGTATCTTAATGGCATTTTTTTTTTTTTTTTTTGCCATCTAGACACAGACAGAACCCACAGACTTTTGGGAGTCTTGGGGGCACAGCTGTGTTCAAAGCTACTTACCCTGGTTACACAGAGCTGCAGGAGACGACAGGGGCACTCTTTGCCTGGCAGGAGCCCCGTGGCCACCCACCCTCACACCCCCCCATTCTGCTGCCTGCCGTAGACCTTTCTGTCTGGACCACATTGGTCCAGCACAGGGCGGCCAGGGGCCTTCGGAGGGGTGTTTGCTTTGGGGAAATGGCACCACGCTGCTGTGGGAGATGCCAACACCTAAACACACCCATCCCAGGTCACTTCCCATGGGTGGGACACAGAAGACAGAAGGATGTGAAGGAGAGGGACCCAGAGGAGAAGAGGAAAGGGGAAGGCTGTGTTGGCCCCGTCCCCAGGCAATGTCATCCCTCACCGTCTCTCGCTGCGGCTGTTCCTGCGGTGTGGGCTGGACTGGGCCCGCTGCGGGGAGGACACATCCTTCTTCCGGTCCTTGGTGGGAGAGGGTGGGCCGGTCCCTTTGCCAATCTAGGTAGGGAGGGAGAAACAAAAGCATCCTTCAGGGCTGCCCGAGAGCCGACCTGCCCCACGGAGAGAAGGGCACAAGTCCTGGAAGCTGCCCCAGCAGGGCCCGGGAAGCCCCAGGCAACCCTCTACCCTGCCCAGCTGCCCAGTCCCTGCATCCCGAAGGTGGCACGGGAGCAAGGGAAGCTGCTGGGCTGTCACATCATTATAAAAAGTCTTCTAGAAGAGGCCCCTTGACTCACACCAGGCCCATGTGCCAAATGGAGAGGTGGCCTGTGTTTGAGCTTTGCCTGGGAGCCTATCAAAGCCAAGAGTGGCACTAGTTACCTTGAACAAGCCACAAGTCAGATGAGTAACTCTGTCTGATTAAGAAAAAAAAATCAGGGCATGGTGGCACATGCAACTCAAGTGGCTGAGGCAGGAGGATTATGGTTCTAGACCAGCCTTGACTACTTAGGGAGACGCTGTCTCAAAATAAAAAAGAAAAGGGGTTGGGAATACAGCTCAGTGGTAGAGTGTCCCTGGGTTCAGTTCCCAGTCCCACAATAAATAAATGAGATGAATCATTCCTTAGGCAACACACTCCACTTGACTTGAGTTCTCTCTACTGTGGGGAGCCGGAGAGGGAAAAATACCAGAGAGGCCTTCGTGCTGAATGAGTGGGGAGTCTCAGGACTAATGACCAAGTAACTGTTAGTTTCACCTCTAGGTCCAACCTGCAGCCTTGGAGACACAATAATATTCCCTGCAGCAAAAACAAGGGTGCAGGCGGACCCAGAACAGGGTGCCCACCTAGGGCAGAAGACAGCAGCCCCTCTCTAGTGCAGGGTCCCTGCAGCCCACCTCTGCCTTGGGGGAAGGCACTGTCAGTCCACAGGGTCTTAGGCTAGGGGCTGGCTGAGAGTCCCCTGCTTGGACTCTCACAGCTGCCTGTGACAAGCTCAGACCCTCTCTCAGCAGGCTGAGCTCCAGTCGGATCTGCCTCTCACGGCCACCCGCCTGTCCACAAGACTCTGGGCTTCCCATCTTGTCAAGGCAGCTCCATGGCTGCTGACCCCAGGGCTGACACAAGGACGGGCCATGAGCCAGTGCCTAGGCTGGTAGCCGAGCTGGAGGCTCCAGGTCATCTGGAGGGGCGCAGTCACAGTGCGGCTGGGGTTGAGCAACCAGAGTGGCTGAGCCCAGGAGGGGACCCTATCAGGCCCCAGGGGAAGTCCCTCTAGTCCAGCTGGACCCAGAAAGAGCCCCAAATTCTATCTGCAGAAAGGGACCAACTCCTCAGTAGCTCAAGCCCAGTTCTTCTGGGTTAACAGACCCCCAAAGTCCCCAGACATCCCCTGGTAGGTGGCAAAGAGGGGGAAGAAATCACCACCTTATCGTCTTCCCTGGGGCCGGATTTCCTGTCTTCGACTCTCCTCTAGTGTTTGGTGAATGCTGGGTGCTGAGGCTCAAGTGTGGGGACACACAGAGAGGGGAGGCTCTTGTGTCCCCCACACCACTCCCCTCATTTAGGTCAGGATTTCCCCCTAGCTGGTCTGGAATCCGTGCCTCTGCCCTTCTTGGGTCAAAGACCCACCACCATGCCAACTCAATCCCTGCTTCCGCTTTCCTGAGCTGTCCTTGGCCTGCCCTCCCAGGGGACAACCTGGGCAATAAGACCACTGCAATTCCGCAGCCAGGACACACCATCCCCTCCCTCATCCTCCCACCACCTCTGCTGGAGTGGGGCATCGGGGTGACAGCAGGGAGGGAAGCCGCCGTGGGAGAGCCTGGCCTCCCGCGGGCAGAGGCTGACCTTGAGCCTCATGTCGCGGGCGTGGCGCTCCAGCTCCTTGCGGAAGTCATCGCGGCCCAGCTTCTCCACGTCCAGGACCGAGTGCTTCCACTCGATCTGCTCCACGCTGTGCGGGTCGTGGGACACGCACTGGCCCAGCTTCACCTTCTTGAGCACGTGCCAGCAGCGGCCGTAGGCGGCCTCGTAGTCCAGCACGAGCTCGCTGAGCGTGCGGAAGGCCGGCGGCTTGTACATCAGGTCCTCCCGCCGGCTCATGCCCAGGGCCCCGTAGCGGCCCCCGAAGTTCACCCCCAGCACGATGTGGCGGAAGTAGTTCCCTGAGAAGTAGGTCTTGAAGCTGATGGGGAAGCGTTCCAGGGCGGGCATGCTGTTGGTGAGGTAACTGGCCAGTCACCACCCGCTAAGGAAAGGGCCAGCAGAGTGGGACCAGCACGAGGGGCAGGGCTGGGGCAGCCGCCACCCACCTGCATGTGGCTCAGGGACCCCTAGGCCACCAGCTTCTGAAGGCAGACACCACAGCTTGTTCATCTCCAAACCCCTGTCCTCTAGCCTCAAGCTGGTGTACCGGGGGCCTCCTGAACTGACCTCCATGGGAACACTGAGGCTGCCATGTCAATCAGAGCTCCCAGAATAACAGCTAACAGGGGTCCCCTACTCCAAACTGCAGATCTTTCCAAAGCTGTAGGGTGCCCCCGGCTCCCCACCCCACTCCTGTCGATCACACGCACTTCGCAGTTGCTGGTCCCCCCAGACACCTTCTCTCCATTTTCTTTCACACATACGTCTCTTCACAGATGCAGAACATTCTGCTGGCCTCTCCTTTTCTCACCCTCGCCCCCTCCCCCTACACAGACACTGTCCCTCGACTCTCAAATAGAATCAACTTGTGGCCACAGTGGGTCGGAGGCACACTGAAGCCTCTCAGCCCACTGGTCCCACTTGCTCACCCCCTCCAGGCACCTGGGCCTCTCTCCTCAGCCCCTCACCCTGCTCCTGCAGGGTCTCCTGCCCTGCCCGCCTGGCCAGCTCCTCTGCAGGCCTCAAGCAAGTCAACTCCCCGATTTTCCTCCATGGCACCCACCACCATCCATTTTCCACTTATTTCTTGGTTTGCTTACTGTTTCTGTCTCCTCCACCAGAGAGGAAACTTCCCGGGGACAGGGACCTTGGCTGCCATGCTCTTTGCTCTTTCTCTAGGGCCTGTCCCCGAGTCCAGCCAATCACAGTTACTCAGGAACACTCTTCTTGAATACATGGGTAGAAACGGATGAGTGAGCCAGTGGGGGGCAGATGCCACCTACAGAGGCTGCACTCAGTGCCCTAGATGAACGACTCGTTCACTCATCCTAGAGACTGTGCCACAGGCACTACCACTACCCCCATTTGCAAGAGAGGACTCCAGGACTCCGAGATGTTAGGGAACTTGCTTGGGGGTCACGTAGTACGTAGCAGAGCCAGGATTAAGCCTGTGGCGTCAGATACTACACCGTGCTTCCTCTAGCACTACTCAGTCTACCAGTGCTGACTGAGCCCAATGCCTTGCCAGTGACCAGGGACTTAGAGTATATGAGAAAGGCACAGCCCTGCTCGGCAAAGTGCATGGGAAGGAGACCCAGGAGCTAACAGTGCAGAGCCCACTGCACTGAGGAGCTGTGGGGACACGGGGAGGGGCCCTTCACCAGACTAGATACTGTTCCCATTTTCCTTGTGCCCACAAGCCACCAAATGACCTTTGAAAGGCCTTGGGACCACATGATCTTGGCTGGCCCAGCATCCGGGTTGCTCTGCAGGGATGGAGCCTCTGCTTTAGTGCATGGCTTCTGAAGGAGAGGGGACGAGGGGTCTTCAAGGAGGTGCTGGCAGCAGCCTGACTTTCCTGAGTGGTCTCATGATTAAAGTCACAAAGAGCCCTAGACAAGGTGATGCTGGCTGGGCTCCTGGAAATGGGTCTATCCTTCCTATCACAAATGACTGCCACAGTGGAGCTAGCTCTTAGGACCTCTGCGGGGATGGGGCAGGGGGCACCACAGCCTTTTTGTGTAAACTTGAGGCAGGTATGTCCATGGGAGAGTGTCACCTCGGTTACAGCCCTGAGGGAGCATCCTTCTCACTTTTGACTTCTCCTGAGACCTAGTCCTGCAGATGCACTTCCTGTTCATTAGGTGTCCTTCCCTGACCCTTCCGGCTACCTCCAATCTGCACTCTCTGCAGCACTGAGCTGGTGGGCTATCTGCCCCAGGGATCATCCATAGGCAAAATGATTCAAGGCTGGCAGGGACCCAGCACGTGGTGGTGCACACCTATAATTCCAGTGGCTTGGAGTCTGAGACTCAAGTTCATGGCCAGTCTCAGCAACTTAGCAAGGCCCTAAGCAACTTAGTGAGACACTGTCTCAAAATAAAAAGTAAAAAGAGCTGGAGGTGTATCTTGGTGGTAGAGCCTCACTGGAGTCAATCGAAGCCAGGAAAGAAAAGCTGGTAGGGAATATGGGAGGGGTGGGAAGAGACGAAACACAATTGTCTCTGAAATGGTAAAGCTGAGAAATGGATACATGGGAATTCATTATATCATTCTATATTTGTACAAGTTTTAATATATTTTCTAATAAAATGACTCATTAAAAAAAAAAAGAAAGGTAGGAGCCAGGTGTGGCTCTGGAGGCTGAGGCAGGAGGATTGCAAGTTCAAACCAGCCTCAGCAGCAACATAGTGAGGCTCTAACCAACTGAGTAAGAACTTGTCTTAAAACAAAAAATAAAAATAGGCTGGGGACATGACTCAATGGTTTAGCATCTCTGGGTTCAATCCCCCATAAAAGTACCAAAAAAAAAAAAAATCATGGCGCTGAGGTGCTGACCAATTAGGAAAATAACTGACCACAAACACCTGCCTCACCTCCCCTTGCTCTGACTGGGGGCCCTGGGGGAGGGCAGCTGCTCCTGGGAGCTTGTCTGCTTCTTCCAGTTATTTTATGGTACTGGGGATTGAACCCAGGGGTGCTCTACCATTGAGATATGCTCCCAACTCTTCCTGTTTTTGAGACAGGGTCTCACTAAGTTGCCTAGGCTGGCCTTAAACTTGCAATCCTCCTGCCTCAGCCTCCTGAATAATTGGATTACAGACATGCACCACCTTGCCTGGCAGTGGTACAGCAGCCCATAGGAGACACTGTGCCCTATTCAGAATTCAGAGAGAGATCACTGGGTCCATGAACTCAAAAAAGAGCTGCCAGCAAACCTGAAGAGGAAGCAACTGAGGCACAGGGGGCTGAGTCCCGAGGCTCCTCCAGCTCGGGGAGGCTCCTCACCGAGGGTCAAGTTCCTGGCTGCACAGGGGAGCTGGGAGAGCCCTGGGCCTCCTTCCCTCTCCCCACTTCTGGAACAGGAAGCTGAGGCCGGGACAGGCGGGTCCCCTCGCAGGCCTCCCAGGGCAGGGGAAGGATACATTCCCAGGATCACGGCTTCCAGGCATTTGATTGGCAGGGCCTCTTTGGTCATTTCCTTGGCCAGGTCCATCAGCCTGTGGGAAAGGGAGACAGCGGAGGACAAGGCCTCTGGCCCTTCCCGTGAGGGGGATGTCAGAAGGAGGGGGCTGGGTTACCAGAAGGCTAGAAGGACAGACCCCACCCCTCAAGCTGCCCTCAGCTCAGGCTCC